AATTGTACTCCTCTCGACCAATCAGAGTCGCGTAATTTTTTTGAGTGTACTACAATTTTAGGAAACAAAAACTAATAATGTCGGTATAAATATTTTTTTCTCATAAAACGGCTTTAGTTGAAATGGTTCTTTTTCTTGTGAAAAGATGTGTGCGGTCAAGTGGCGTCAATGTAAGATTGTTTTCTTTTCTTATCCTTTTTGCTGGTGTCCACGTGTTGCTCGCATCTCGCGTAACATGGGTTTCGATAATTTTTTCATCGTGTTCTGCACAGCAAGTTCCCACAGATTATAAACATACAAGAATATGGGGTGCTGTATGAATAGGGCATTCTGTACTTTCTCGTTCATTTTGTCCAGAGCCTTTTCTGGAAGCTTGTCGTCTTCAGTGTATCCTAGTGTATCCACTGGATCCTAGTGTATCCACTGTATCCTAGTGTATCCAGTGTATCCTAGTGTATCCACTGTATCCACTGTATCCACTGTATCCACTGTATCCACTGTATCCACTGTATCCACCGTATCCAGTGTATCTTAGTGTATCCACTGTATCCACTGTATCCACTGTATCCACTGTATCCACTGTATCCACTGTATCCACTGTATCCACTGTATCCAGTGTATTCAGTGTATCCTAGTGTATCCACTGTATCCACTGTATTCTCTGAATCCTAGTATATCCAGTGTATCCAGTGTATCTACTGTATCCAGTGTATCTTAGTGTATCCACTGTATCCACTGTATCCAGTGTATCCGCTGTATCCACTGTATCCTAGTGTATCCAGTGTATCCAGTGTATCCTAGAGTATCCAGTGTATCTACTGTATCCAGTGTATCTACTGTATCCAGTGTATCCAGTGTATCCAGTGTATCCAGTGTATCCAGTGTATCCAGTGTATCCAGTGTATCCAGTGTATCCAGTGTATCCAGTGTATCCGCTGAATCCAGTGTATCCTAGTGTATCCAGTGTATCCAGTGTATCTACTGTATCCAGTGTATCCAGTGTATCCAGTGTATCCAGTGTATCCAGTGTATCCTAGTGTATCCAGTGTATCCTAGTGTATCCAGTGTATCCAGTGTATCTACTGTATCCACTGTATCCACTGTATCCAGTGACAAGTTCCAGACAATCAGTTTTGGACAGAAGCACAAAAACAAAAATTTGAACATTACAGCACTAAATAAGAACATTAAGGCTAATTCTGAAATGACATTATTAGGAGTTACAATTGATGAATATCTGAAGTTTGATTGTCATGTAGAGAATTTACATTTACTACCCACTTTAGCCAAATTAAGAATTTATAAATCGTTCATTTTACCGCAATTAACATATTGTCACCTAGTGTGGCAATTTTGTAGACAATCGGATAGTAGAAAGGTGGAACGACTGCAAGAGAAGGCACTAAGAGCAATTTATAGAGATAAATATAGTACTTATAGCGAACTCCTCTCTAAAGCCAAGCTTACKACACTGCTTAATAGGAGAYTGCAGGATATTGCAATACTAATGTACAAAGTTAAAAACAATTTGTGTCCTACCTATATATCGGATATTTTTAGTTTAAATACTGTTCATAAATATGGGCTTAGAAATTCAGACGATTTTACAATTCCTAGGTTTAATACTATCACTAATGGTAAGCATAGTTTAAGATATATCGGGCCGGTTGTGTGGGCTAAGTTG